TGCGTTTGTGTTTGTATAAAGCGAGAGAAAATTGTATATACATATATTTTCGTTCCCCTCTCCCAGATCTCGCTCGCCACTCTCCCAAATCTCGCTCTCTCACTCTCTCACTCGCCTCTCTCACTTTATACAAAAACGCAAATGTATAAAATGCGTGAAAATTGTATATATACATATATTTTCGTTCCCCTCTCCCAGATCTCGCTCGCCACTCTCCCACATCTCACTCGCTCACTGGCCTCTCTCACTTTATACAATTGATCTTTTTGTATATGTATACCAAAGCAGATTATACAACTGTTTTTTTTTGTATATGTATAGCGAATTATACATATATATGTTTGCTATGGAGCGCAATTATGCAAACTTTGCTATAGCATACAAATATGAATTTTGTGTTTGCTATATGTGAAAGTTGCTCTTTCTTTTATTGAGTGATAGCCATATTCATTGTTTGGATGGCTGCTTTTCGTTCGTTTGGTAGAGTGTATAGTTATACTTGTATTAGTTATGCATAGATTATTTGTTATGCATTGTTTGGTTTGGTGTATTAAAAATAGTATGCATTACATAAAAATATTTATTTACAAAAGTATCCTTCACAATTATGGTGGAAAAGATGTAAAAGTACTTTTGAGGGGTAGTTGGGTTTTTAACCATATTAATGCATGTATTAAATTCTTTGCATTGCTAATACCTAGAAATCCATGGTATTAGTAATACACTCCTCAATACACAATAGAATGTAAAATATTAGTAATCCCTAAAACGTTAGTAATCCAAGAAAATGTTGTTTATTTATTGTAGTGACATTATTTGCAAGTCATAATATAGTCTCTTTCACTATTAGAATGCAAGTCTCTTCGAATTTTTAATTATTTTCATTATCTTAGATGACAAGTCAACCAAGGCAAGGCTTAAAAAATAAAGCAAGTTGTTAGAAATTATTAAAGAATAAAAAGGAACAATCAAACAAAGAGATCTATAAATTATGACGTTGAGAAGCAATGCAATATATTCACACCATAATTAACTTCATAAATTAAAGCTTCTCCAAGTATTTTACCTAGTAATGGCATCATTTAAATTTGATTTGATCTTCACTACACTTCTTCTCATGGCAACCACTAGTTAGTTCTTCATATCTCTCTCTCTATATATATATATATTGTAGTCTTACATTATATATTATGCTTCTCATCAACATGTACATATGTAGTTACAACTCATGTGATTGTGTAGAAAACTTTTGTACATATCAATATGTACGTACGTGTTTAATTTCTTTATATGCATGTGGATTGAATGTGTCTTTAATTTTAATTTTCATGTTATATATATCAATCATATATATCTTGATCTTGTAATTCTGATTATGAACTTTTTCAGTCGATGTGATGTGGTTCTCGAAGATCAAAGTTATGGCTGCAAGAAATGTCGATCCTTATGTATTATCAGGACTTAAAAGGAGACTACTTCCACAACTTAATGATGTAATTACATGTGGGACTTTGTGTGGTCCTCATAGTCCTACAGATTACGATTGCAGTGATTGTTGGTCATGTTGTGACTGCAGACGAGCACCTTGGGATAATTTTTTTCGTTGTCTGTACCCAGAGTAGCAAGACAAGAACCTTTGTTTTTCTCCTAGAATAACAAAGAAATTCAAATGAATACTAGTACTTTTCTTTTCAGTTACTTGTGAAGAATAACAAACTCAAACTCCAAACACTTTGGTCAGACAATTGTTATGTATTCTTTCATAATGTATCGTATTATATTGCTTAGTGTTATGTTGTATCGTACTGTATTTCTTTAAAAAATATTTTCTCCGTCCAATAATAGTTGTCCAGTGTCCATTATACTATTTTGGGATGTCCAACAATATTTGTCCATTTTAGAAAATTAAGAGCTAATTTTTACCTTTTCTGTTTATTTTACCCTTGTTATTAAATACTACTCTTTATTATCTAACACATTTCTCAAAGCATTAAATTTAATAAAGTCAAAGAATAATATAGTAATATTACCCTTATTATTTATTACTTTCTTAAGAGATGTGCCAAGTCAATAGTTGATAATTATTGTTGGACAGAAGCCAGAGGGAGTACAATATTTGTAGGGGAATTTTTGCATATAGTCACTCAAAAATAACTTAATTATGCTTCATATATAGCTATAGTTTGCTAATTACGATTCGTAGCTACATGTTAGAGGGAGGAGAGATGAAGAGGGCAGAGAGAGGTCAAAGAGTGGAGAGAGACGAATTGTATATGTATATATGCGAATAGTATATGTATATCTGTCAAATAATTGTATATATGTAACTGGTTTAGTTAATTAAGGTGTGTCTCTGGGATTTCAGTCATAGTCTAGGGGGGTACTTGTGCCTTCTCCCTTGCTATAATTACCCCTCACAACTAATATTAATCATTAATTATGTGGGTTGACTTCGAGTTTGTATAATTAGTCACATATGTATAATTCGCCACATTTGTATAATTCGCAACTAACAATTCTTTGTTTGATTTGTATTTATATACAATAGTTTGTATTTGTATATGACGTGATTTCCTTTGGTTTTTCAGTTTTATCACCATATACGTTCAATCTCTTTTTGTATAACTTTTTAAAGTTTGTATAAACGTGTAGTTTTCATATTTTGTATAATATAATTTGTATAACTGTTTAAAGTTCATAAATTTATGTTTGTATCAATTTGTTGTTTCGAGTTTTATCATATTTGTATAATTCCATATTTTGTATTATTCAATTATATAAAAACACACAAATTATACAAACGTACCTATAAATTATACAAACGAGATGCGAATTATACAAGTTTTGCCCTCTCTCACTCGCCTCTCTCCTCCCTTAGTTCTACTAGGCATACCAATCAAAACTGATGAACTTAACGCAAAGCATCATTTATTGGTTCAATATGTGTATATATTTTGGATGAAACATCGAAAACATTATTTTTTTTAGGAAACTAAGTAACCTGTGTTTCGTAGCTAAGTACAAAAATATTTATATATAATTTAGATAAATAGTATGGAAAGATGAAGTATGTTGAATGATGTGGAAGACACAACGTAGTAAGTAGAACATATATTAGTTAATTAGTCATCATAACTATAGTTTTAGTTAATTACCACTCGCGATCAACATTCAGTGATAATTACGTGGCTGGAGTGTTGGATTTGTATAATTCAAAATTTGTAATATAATTTTGTATAGCTTTTGTATAATATAATTTTGTATAATTGTTTAAAGTTCAAATGTTTATGTTTGTATAAATTCGTTATTTCGAATTTATACAAAAATAATTCAATTATACGAACGTACCCGTGAATTATACAAACTTACCCGCGAATTACAAACCCGAGAATTATACAAACCCACGAATTATACAACGAGACAGCTTAAACTGTAGCTATAGCCCGAAATTATGCAAACTATAGCTACGAAGCATAGTTAAATTTATTATAGTGACTATTTACAAAAATTCAAAAAAATATTTTTACTCATAGTTAAGAATATTGTTTTTAAAAAAAAATTATTTCAAAATATTTGATCAATTGAACATGAAAAAATTGAAATAATATGGGTGTCGAACACACCCTTTTATAAAAGAAAAAAGGGAAAATCCAAATAGCTGTGAAGAAGTTGTAGAGAGTAGAGACTAGAGAGAGCTACTTTCATGGAAGTACACGTAATCCGAATTTCCTCTGCATTTCCATTCGCTTCCATAGCCAAACACAGCCTTAATCCCTCCAAATCCAACTTCGCCATTTCTCTTTCTTCTCTCAATTTTTCTGATAGTCCCAAATTTTCATTCAAAGTGGAATCCAAGAAGAGAAACGACGTCGTTTTTGACGACGCCGCATACGAGGCCAAACGTCACAGACTCGACG